CTTGAGCATACTTCGTTTGATGCCAGAAAACTCCTTCTTCGACGTCTTTGAATTCCATTCCCAGGAAATAGGAGAGATTCCCTAAATCAGACATTTTGGATTCCTGCATTAACATTGACTTTACCTTTATTATCTCAGCTTAGTCTGCTCCTGTAATGAGTAAGTTATCACATAGAGGAATAACATGATTCGATTGACACTTTCGACATCATTTACATACACTCCATGTTCAGAGACACACTTTGTGAAACCATGCTTCGATTAGGAAGCTATCTATCCTTTTATTCCAAGCTCTAGGAGCTTGCTTCAAGCTATAGAGAGCCTTCCTTAATCTGTAAACTTTCGACTCCTTCCCTTTAATGTCGAAGCCTGGTGGTTGAGTAACATAGACTTCTTCTTCCAATGGACCATTCAAAATGCTGACTTCATATCAAGTTGGTGCATTTTCCATCCTCTACATGCAGTTATCGAAACAAGAATCTTGATTGTTTCGATCCTTGCAACATGCGCATATACTTCGTCGAAGTCAATACCATGTTTTTATAGAAAACCTCTGGCCACCAGTCTTGCCTTATACTTTGCAATCTCACCGTTTGGCCTTTGTTTCACCTTGTAGATCCATTTCACATTGATTGGTTCTTGTTGGTTCTTTCGACAAGCTCCCAAGTCTTGTTCTTCTCAATGGCTCTAAGTTCTTCTTTCATGGATTCACACCAATTCAAATTGCTCAAGGCTTCACCCAAATCAATTGGTTCTGCTTCAGCCATCATCATGGCTTCTTCTATTAAGTCACCATCTGCATCGATTGCTTGATCTGGAAACCTCTCATATCCAATCAGCCTAGTCAACTCAGTTCTTATCTTGTGGATCTTCTTTCATTTTGCATAGGTGGTTCTTCATTTTGACTTGTCGAAGCTTCATTCTCTTCATCTTCTTCAAACACAGTTGTGACTGTGTCTGATTCATGTCGAACTAAACTTCGAATCCAATCCCATGCTTTGCTTTCGTCTACAAGAACATATCTACTGATCACTAGTTTATCTTCAATTGGTGAATACAACTTGTATGCACCAGTTGAATGATAACCTATGAGCACAATGACTTCACTTTGATCATCCAACTTCTTTCTCAATTGTTAAGGTACATTCCTGAAACACATTGATCCAAAAATTCTAAGATGACTTACATTTGGCTTTGACCCCGTCCAAGCCTCATGCGGTGTCTTTTTCGACCATCTTCTTCGTTGGACATCTATTTAGAATGTATACTGTTGTCGAAGCCCGCTTCAGCCCAAAATCTCTTAGGCATATTCTTAGCTTTCAACATACATTTTATCATGTTCAGTACAGTTCTATTCTTTCTCTCAGCTATTCCATTATGCTGAGGCGTATAGGGTGCAACAACCTCATGCTTTATACCTTCCTCGTTGCAAAATATGGAAAATTCAGTAGAAGTATATTCACCACCACCATCAGTTCTTAACTTCTTTAATTTGCAGACACTTTGTTTCTCAGCATGCAACTTGAACTTGTTGAACTGTGTGAATACCTCACTCTTCCTTTCAATAAGGTAAATCCACACATGTCTGGTGAATTCATCAATGAAAGTAAGGAAATACCCTGTTACCTCCATTGGACTTTACTTCAATGGGCTCCACACACATCTGAATGAACTAGCTCCAGTTTTTGCCTTTATCTTATGGGCAAGTCACGTTTGAATGCCTTCCTTTCCTGTTTAGCTTTGCAGCATTCCTCACATATCTGCTTTGGTTCCTTCACATACAGCAACCCAAGCACCATTCTTTTCTGATTGAGCATACATAAACTCTTGAAGTTTAGATGTCCATACTTGTGATGCCATAGCAGTTCTTGTCTTCTTCTGTAGTTGAAGCAAGACATTTGTCATCTGATGTGTTGAGTTCGACTTTGAAGGTTTTGTTCTCTGCCAATGGTTCTTTCATGATTAGCCTCCTATTAGCCTTATATACCTTCATCTTATTATTCTCCAACTTCATATTGAATCCTTTTGCAAGTAATTGACCTACACTTATCAAGTTACTTGTCATCGAAGGTACATATAGAACTTCAGTGGTAGTAGCCTTTCGACCATCCTTTATGATAATCGAAATATCTCCTTTACCACCTGATTTGATATTCCTGCCATCTGCAAACTTTATCACCTTTTCGAGTGATTCATCTAACTTGGTAAACCAGTTTTTATTGGCCAGTCATGTGGTTACTATATCTGAATCCAGATACCACATGTTATCTTTCTCAGTATTCGACTAAGTGTTCACCAGCAACAACACATCATCAGAATCACTACTTCCAGCTCGTGCATATTGAGCTTCATCACTATCTTTCGACTTCACAACTTTCTTTCTTTGATAGTCTCTAGGCATAGTGGCCAAAACCTTGACAATTGTAACATTGCACCTCTTTCGTGTCAACTTTCTTCCCAAAATACTTGTTGCCCACTCCTTTTGAATCAACATTCTTGCTTGACTTCTCATCACCAGCAAGAATCTTTCGCGCTGCTTCGATTTCTCTTTTCCAGCTTTCTTGCTGAATCTTGATTCCAATGCTTGTTCAACTGCTTTCTCCCTTCCTGAGTTTTTTTGCTGCAACCTCATTTCATGAGCCTCCAAAGAAGCTTTAAGTTCTTCCAACTTCATCTCAGATAGATTCTTGGCCTCTTCAATTATTACAACAAAGTAATCAAAGTCTGGAATTAAAGATCTCAATACATTTTCTATCTTCTGCAAATCCGTTAGCGCTTCACCATACACCTTCATCTGGTTGTTAGCGTCACTACTTTTGAGAAATATGCAGAAACATATTCACCCTCTTTCATCTGCAACATCTTATACTGCTTTCTCAGAGTCAACAACTTCACTTTCTTCAATTTCTCATCTCCACCATACAAGGACTTTCAGCTTTTCCCAAGCTCCTTTTGTTGTTTCTTCTTCGATTATCTTCTCAATATATCACAATCCACACACTGATGAATCAAGAACAACGACTTGCCATCTTTCTTCCTCTGATCTTTGTGCGCAGCTGTCCGGGCTTTGGTAGCATTCACTTCCAGTTGTGATATTCCATCATTCAAGATTTCTACAACATCTTGAAATCTGAAAATAACCTTCATTGTGCCACCCATCGTTGATAGTTTTCGCCTTTGAAAATGGTAGATTTGCTGGAAATTGTGTTGATGTTGTTGATACGTTTACCATTAGATTCACTTTGAATCGCAAACAAGCTCTTGATACCAATTTGTTGAAACAAATGATTCAAGAAAGATGATATTGTGAAAGCAAGAAGAAGAAGAAGAAGAAGAAGAGAAGAGAGAGAGAGAGAGAGAGAGAGAGAGAGGAGAGAGAGAGAGAGAGAGAGAGAGAGAGAGAGAGAGAGAGAGAGAGAGAGAGAGAGAGAGAGAGAGAGAGAGAGAGAGAGAGAGAGAGAGAGAGAGAGAGAGGAGAGAGAGAGAGAGAGAGAGAGAGAGAATTGAGTTAGTTAAGTGTAACTAACTTTGAACTGAATTCAGTTAATATTGTTGCTTACTATTACAAACACAATGACCCTTTATATAGACAGAATAGACAAGGCCCAAATACATGCTAGAAAGCCCAAATAACTATATAATAAGAATTAACCAACTAACAAGACCGAACAACAACTTCAAAGAAAAATGATATTCCTTCATAACATATTCAGATCTGAGAAAGATATGTTTTTGATTTACAAATTGAATTTGGAAATTAGGGATTTGGAAAGGAAGCTGACTTACTTTTAGAATAAATAGATTTAAAAAATCAGAGAATAATAATATGACAGAAAGGAAAAATTAAATTAAAGAGAAAGAGATAGAAGAAGAATGATAAAAAAAAAGAGTAAGTATATGAGAAGAAAGAAATTTGAAAAGATAAATCAACGTGGAAGATGAATTGATTTTTTTATAATTCTAAATTTTTATTTTTATTTTTAAAAAGATTTTTGTATATTTTAATTTTTTTTATTTATTAAGTAATAATGACATGTTATTTTTAATATAACTATTATATTCCATGTCATCAATTTTGAACTAAATTGTTATAAAAATTACACAAGATTATTTAAAAAAAAATTAAAAATAGATCAAAACGGTTTAAAAATAAAATAAAAAAACTAAATTTGTAAATAAACTAAAATAAAAAGGCTAAAACTGTAATTTAGTTATTATTTTACTTTTATTCGGAAATGTATGTTGAAATATTTTTATTCCAATGTTTATTTTAAGTTTTATTAAATTATGACTTTTTATTCTTAAAAATTCATTTTATACATAATTTTGTCAATTGTCATTTCCATGTTATAGTGTAAGAATCTTACATTCTCATTAAAATAAAAAATAATATTCATAACTTTTCATTCTTATACATTTTAATTTATTTATTTTATATTTTAAATTAAATATATTTTAAAGAAATTAATTATTTTCACCAAACAGATAAAGAGAAGAACACTATCGGTGTAAAGTAATCTACATTAATATTCAATAATTATCATTTAACCGTATTATATAATTTATTTATCGTATCTATATCGTATTTCATATTTCATATGTACACCAAATCCTAAAAACTATTGGTAATTTTATCTTTAGGTTGGTAAATTCTATTCTTTTGGGTTGAAAAACCCAAAAGCAACGAAACAGTAAAAAGCAGTCACAAAGCAAAGAAATATTGAGTCATAAAACAACCAAAACCCATCTCAAAACGAAACCTTCTTCTCTCTACCCAAGCGACTCTTCCTTACCCTGAAAATTCTCGAACTTCAAACTTGACATTCATTCCATCAATGGACGAGTAAGTCTCTCTCTCTTTCATATTAATTTACTTTAATTACATATAAATAAAACAATATAAATTTGATATCCAGATCAGAGCAATCTCCAAAGGAATATTACCAAAAGCCAGCAAAATAGGGTCTCATCAATGTCATCCTCCTCAACAACAAGCGTCCATGTCACCCGCATTAGACGGACTCGTCAACGTGAACTCCCTCTTCACCATCGCCGTTTTCGTCGGTCTTTCCCTAACAACCCCCGGCCAAAGGAGCCTCGAGAATCGAACCTCTTGCGACGCCGGCATCGACGTTGAAAAGAAGCTTCTAGTCTACGAGGTTGTGCTCGTTCAGTTTCTTCCTGTCTTCGTCTCTAGTAGCGCAGGGTCTTAAGCTGGCTCTGAATCTTTTGAATAGTAAGGATGTGGATGAAGCTTTTAGGGCTCATATTAATTTGAAGGTGCTGAGATGGGGGATGTTGGGGTCCGCGTTGGGATCGGTTATGGGGTGTTTGTTTCTGATGCTTTCGATGGTGAATGTTATTGAGATTCGGTTGGGGTTGTTGTCCTGTGGGAGTAAATCTGCTGCTCATTGCTGTTGGGGTTATGGTTGTTTTGGTTTCTTCTGCTCTTGTCATGTATATTTCTACTGCTATTTATGCTTTTACTCACTAAATCTGAAATTGAATTCTTGTTTCTGAAATGTTTTTATTGTTTCAAGATCAAATGCTTTTATGGTTTTCTACTATTAGAGATGAGTAGCCAATTTCTGTTTATAAGTGGTTTAAAATTAGTTGCGTTGCTTCGTGTTTTAGTGACCTGTTTGAATTCAATTCAATGTTTGTGGATGTGGATTGAGATATAGTTATTTGTGGAGGTCATCTGCAATTTGGTTTTGTTGGATTTAATTGAGAAGGTCTAATCCTATGTAATACAAGCTCTTCCGATTGAAGGCGTGTTTAAAGACCAAGGTATGTTGGTATTTGATATTGACACGACACAACATTGACCATGTGATTACGTGAAAATATGTAATCAGTTCTGTTTTTGCCAATTCTTATCGGGGCATCCATCTTAGTATCAGTGTCGTGTTAGGTGTTGCCTTTGTGTCTTCTCTACCCGTGGTTGGTTGGTTGGTGGAAGGAGAAAGATAATTTTTTTGAGAAACTGTATTTGCAAATAGAACTTGTTTTGACTGAATTGACTTTCCGGTTTCAACTGCAGGGGGAGTGGTTTGTACTTTGTAGGATTTTCTGAATTTTTTTTCCCCAAGATTGCTTATTTAGAGTCTGGAAATTAGCATTTGTTGTTTCTGTGATGGTTTGCCAATAGTTAGTTTTTCTAATATTTGGTTATAAAGGGTTCAATGATGTTTTCAGTTGTTATGTGGTTGAAGTCATGCAATGACCTTTCTAGTTGTGGATAATTACATTCAAATGCAGCTGATAGTTACAGACAGCACTAATGTTGTTATTGCAGTTTGAAACAGTGGGATTCTGAATTCAATGGACTTGATTCCTTTTTATCAAAGGAGTTAGGTTTGTTTGCTTCAGAACATAGTGGTTTGTGTTGGTCTAGTCCACCTGATTTCCGTGATTTGGATTTGGTTAAGTTTTTACCACTTTGATTCTGCTAAATTGCATAAGTGAAACGTTTAGGAAATTATTAATAATTAAATATAATTATTAAAAATCTCATATAAAATAAGAAATATTATTTTAGCCTGTCTATCATTGAGTTGATATAAAAGTTGGTTCCATTTAAACATAATTAACCACAAAACACAGAAAATGCTCCAATTTAGACGGTCGAGTTGGAATTAGATTTCATATTATTAGTAAATGGAGGAAGTCTAAATGGTAAACAATAAAGTATATTTTGGCATAAGTATTAATTCAAATAGAATAAAGTCAGAATTTTATTAAAAAAAACAAAAGTTAGATGTTAGATTTAAATTAACTCTCAATATATATAAGTGGAGGATTATGAACAAAGGGTAAATTGGAAATTTCTAAGTATATTTTTTTTTATAGTATTATAGATTATAGATGATTTTATGTTTACATGAGTAGTTGACACAATTTTTTAAAGAAGAACTATAACATAATGTTCGCTATTAATTTATTAATTTATGTTCAGAATATCTCATGACTATTTCTTCTATTTATCTAATATTATATTGATTTTATTTATCCCAATTTAGACAGTGAACTAGATTTCATGATTAATTAGTAAATTGAAGTCCAAATGGTAAACAATAAATTATATTTGGCATACCTATTTAATTCAAATAGGATAAAGTCATAATTTTATTATAAAAAACAAAAGTTAGATTTAAATTAACTCTCAATATATAAGTGGAGGATTATGAACAAAGGGTACATTGGAATTAACTCTCAATATATAAGTGGAGGATTATGAACAAAGGGTACATTGGAAATTTCCAAGTATATTTATTTTTTTTATAGTATTATAGATTATAGATGGTTTTATATTTACATTATTCAAAAAGTCACCATTATAAATTTTATTAATTTTCCTAGTAGTTGAACATTTTTTTTAAGGAAGGATTATAACATAATGCTCACTATTAACTTATTAGTTTATGTTCAGAATGTCTCATGACTATTTCTTCTACTTTATCTAATATTATATTGATTTTATTTATTAGTTGGCTTGAAATTTCAAACTCAACTTCGTCTATTCTATTAGCTCTTGGGGTGGCTATTTGTTTGAGTCCAATTGTCGTTATCAAATTGTCGTGCAATATATGCAATATTTGATTTAACCGTCACATTTACAAAGTTGGTTTCATTTAAACATAATAACATAATTAACCACAAAAGTACAAAAAATGCTACAATTTAGACGGTCGAGTTGGAACTAAGATTTCATAATTAATTAGTAAATGGAAGTCCAAATGATAAACGATAAATTATATTTTGGCATAAGTATTAATTCAAATATGATAAAGTCAGGATTTTATTAAAAAAAACAAAGTTAGATTTAAATTAACTCTCAACATAGGTTATGAACAAATGGTAAATTGGAAATTTCTAAGTATATTTTTTATTTATAGTATTATAGATTATAGATGGTTTTATGTTTACATTATTCAAAAAGTCACCATATAAATTTTATTAAATTTCCTAGTAGTTGAACAATTTTTTTTAAGGAAGGACTATAACATAATGCTCGCTATTAACTTATTATTTATGTTCATAATGTCTCATGACTATTTCTTCTACTTTATCTAATATTATATTGATTTTATTTATCAATTGGCTAGAAATTTCAAACTCAACTTCGTCTATTTCTATTAGCTCTTGGTGTGGCTATTTGTCTGAGTCCAATTGTCGTTATCAAATTGTCGTGCAATATATGCAATGTTTGTTTTAACCGTCACATTTACATGTAAGGAAATTCACTCTTGAATCTATAATTGTCAAATTGTGTATTAATGTGTATTTTCACAAAACATAAAATAAATTTAGGAAATTATTAATAATTAAATATAATTATTAAAAATATTATATAAAATAAGAAATGTTATTTTAGCCTGTGTGTCATTGAGTTCATATAAAAGTTGGTTCTATTTAAACATAATTATGCACAAAAACATAAAAAGTGCTCCAATTTAGACGGTCGAGTTGGAACTAGATTTCATGATTAATTAGTAAATGAAAGTCCAAATGGAAAACAATAAAGTATATTTTGGCATAAGTATTAATTCAAATAGGATAAAGTCAGAATTTGATTACAAAAAACAAAAGTTAGATTTAAATTAACTCTCAACATGTAAGTGGAGGATTATGAACAAAGGGTAAATTGGAAATTTCCAAGTATATTTTTTTTTTATAGTTATTATAGATTATTGATGGTTTTATATTTACATTATTCAAAAAGTCACAATTATAAATTTTATTAATTTTCCTAGTAGTTGAACAATTGTTTTTAAAGGAAGAACTATAACATAATGCTCGCTATTAATTTATTAATTTATGTTCAGAATATCTCATAACTATTTCTTCTACTTTATCTAATATTATATTGATTTTATTTATCAGTTGGCTTGAAATTGCAAACTCAACTTCGTCTATTCTATTAGCTCTTGGGGTGAATATTTGTCCGAGTCCAATTGTCGTTATCAGATTGTTGTGCAATATATGCAATTTGTGATTTAACCGTCACATTTACATGTAAGGAAATCTACTTTTAAAACTATAATTGTCAAATTGAGTATTAATGTGTATTTTCACAAAACATAAAATAAATTTAGGAAATTATTAATAATTAAATATAATTATTAAAAATCTCATATAAAATAAGAAATGTTATTTTAGCCTGTGTGTCATTGAGTTCATATAAAAGTTGGTTCTATTTAAACATAATTAACCACAAAAAAGTGCTCCAATTTAGACAGTCGAGTTGGAACTAGATTTCATGATTAATTAGTAAATGGAAGTCCAAATGGTAAACAATAAATTATATTTTGGCATAAGTATTTAATTCAAATAGCATAAAGTCATAATTTTATTACAAAAAACAAAAGTTAGATTTAAATTAACTCTCAATATATAAGTGGAGGATTATGAACAAAGGGTAAATTGGAAACTTCCAAGTATATTTATTTTTTTATATTATTATAAATTATAGATGGTTATATATTTACATTATTCAAAAAGTCACCATTAAAATTTTTATTAATTTTCCTAGTAGTTGAACAATTGTTTTTTAAGGAAGGACTATAATATAATGCTCGCTAGTAATTTATTAACTTATGTTCATGAATGTTTCATGACTATTTCTTCTACTTTATCTAATATTATATTGATTTTATTAATCAGTTGGCTTGAAATTGCAAACTCAACTTCGTCTATTCCATTAGCTCTTGGGGTGGATATTTGTCTGAGTCCAATTGTCGTTATCAAATTGTCGTGCATTATATGCAATTTGTGATTTAACCGTCACATTTACATGTAAGGAAATCCACTCTTGAATGTATAATTGTCAAATTGAGTATTTATGTGTATTTTCACAAAACATAAAATAAATTTAGGAAATTATTAATAATTAAATATAATTATTAAAAATCTCATATAAAATAAGAAATGTTATTTTAGCCTGTGTGTCATTGAGTTGATATAAAAAATGGTTCCATTTAAACATAATTAACAATAAAAGCATAAAAAAGTGCTCCAATTTAGACGGTCGAGTTGGAACAAGATTTCATGATTAATTAGTAAATGGAAGTCCAAATGGAAAACAATAAAGTATATTTTGGCATAAGTATTAATTCAAATAGGATAAAGTCAGAATTTGATTACAAAAAACAAAAGTTAGATTTAAATTAACTCTCAACATGTAAGTGGAGGATTATGAACAAAGGGTAAATTGAAAATTTCCAAGTATATTTTTTTTTATAGTTATTATAGATTATAGATGGTTTTATATTTACATTATTCAAAAAGTCACAATTATAAATTTTATTAATTTTCCTAGTAGTTGAACAATTGTTTTTAAAGGAAGAACTATAACATAATGCTCGCTATTAATTTATTAATTTATGTTCAGAATATCTCATGACTATTTCTTCTACTTTATCTAATATTATATTGATTTTATTTATCGGTTGTCTTGAAATTTCAAACTCAACTTCGTCTATTCTATTAGCT